AGTCTTCATATTCTCTGCATCTTCAAAGTTCTTCACAATAAGCTTTTATTACATTCATGATCAAAAATGAAAAGGTTTTTCTTTTTTAAGTATTATAGGGAAGACTGTTATTGAAAGAATTCCTAAAGCAAACCATTTTGTAAAACAAGTGAACAGCACCTCATTCATACATTTTATTTAAAATCCTTCTGTGTTTCAGAACTCTGAGTTCTGATGCATGGACCGTGGTCCCTGGAAGCAGGAAACACGTCGGATGCTTGCGAGAATGTGCCCGGTGCCTCGCAGAGGGCTCTGCACCCGGGGCCGGTGGTGAGGGCCGCAGTGTTTGGTTGAAGCAGGCCACGTCTGTACTTTTTCCAAGGGCTTCAAAGTCTGAATCCTACCTTTACATGCAGTGGGTATTCAAACGTGTTGAGCCAAATGAGGACACAGGGAAATGAAAAGAGTAGATAAAAGGGTATCCGTGCTGGGATTACAACTGTGAGAAACAGATGCGTGCTACAGACAGGGGCATGAAGGGATCAACAGGAAAGAAAACAGAGCATCAGTGCAGAGTTATGAGTCATTGTTTTATTTTACTTAATTTCTCCAGCTGTAAATTTTTCAAAACTAATATAAGCATATTTTACAGCTCACAGAACATTTAGAACATATTAAAATAAGTATCTTTCCACTGTAATATACCCAATTGAAATTTATGAATTCCAAAGCTACATTTTAAGGAGATGAAGGAAATGGCACTTCACGCTCTTTAGATTAATCAGATGGATTGTGTTGTTTTTCTCTTGATCAGAAAAGAAATCATATTTCAGTAAATGTTACCTTGAATCAAGGATTCTTTCACATTCTAGAAGCTTGAGTGAGCTTATATTAAGTCTTACTGTGCCCCCTAGTGGCAAATAAAATCTATGCACCTAAGAGACCATCCTTTCCCAAAGGCTGGAAATAAAATCCAAAAAAATTTTTTTAATCTTTACTGATCACTTAGCATGTACAAAACTTTGTGCCAGGTGCTACGGAAAATACAAAAATGGGTCTGGCACAGTTTCCATCCTCAAGAGGCTCAAAATCTACAAGGTGTGGCAGATACAGTTCATGGCTACACAGGCAGAATGAGAGGCCACTTCACGGTAAGGAAGGGACAAGACTCCTGGGGAGAGCAAAACTGTGAGCACACGGTGAGTGACAACTATGTGCCAAGCACCGCACAGAGAGTCCACATCCAACACTGGTTCTTCTCCACAAAAACCCAGCCAGGCAGGCACAGTCGTGTCCACCATACATACACCGGCTGAGGTTCGGGGAAGTAACTTGCCCAAGATCACACAGCCAGTCTGCCACAGAGGGAGGATTCAAACTAAGTGCTGTGACCCCAGCCCCCAGGGTCTTCCTTCCCTCCTGATGCAGTGGGGCTCAAGAAGGCACTCCGGCAGAGTTTAACCAAAAGACAAGGGGAAACGCATCCTAGGAAGGGAGCACAGAGTTGGGGGGGGCGCCCTGTCATACCCACCTCTTCTAGCTCTTTCCCCACTGCACCATCTGCTCTCTACCCAGGACTGGGCTACAAGGAGCCAGGGCTCCTGCCGGTGCCCACAGCCCCATACTCACTCCAGACTCAGCATCCACAAGCCTCCCACTGCCCCCTCCACCTCATAGGCCCCCAAGATCTGCCGCGTCACCACCCTCTGACCCCAGGGAGGGGGAAGAACACCATCCTGCCTGGGGCTGCCAGCTGCACACCAGGCTACACATGCACCTGAGGCCCCAGCGAAACCGAGGCCTCAGCCAGGACTTCCCTCCCCGGTTCCCAGCCCTGCTCTCACCTAGTCCCCAATCAGTTTGCCCATCCCGGCTCCTCCAGCCCCTGCCACACATTCTTCACACTGAAAAGGTGCTCAAAATCAATTTGCCAAATAACTCTGTCAATGAAAACTGTCAAAGATCTTGCGCACAAGCAGGGAGAGAAGCAGGCTCCCCACTCAGCAGGGAGCCCCATGCGGGACTCAATCCCAGGACCCCGCGATCACTACCTAAGCCGAAGGCAGACACTTAACCAAATGAGCCACCCAGGCGTCCCAACTGTCAAATATCTTAGAGCAGTGAGGATCCTGGCCCAACCATTTGCATATATGGCTTATTAAAGCCCTGGTTTTTCAGGACCCCACAGGAAGAAAGAGGTCAGGAGACACTGACCCCAGCAGCCATGACGGCAGTCGCGCCCTGTCCCTGGACCACCTCCAATGCCACCTCCGCAGCCTCGCCATGAGGGACAGACAGTGAAGTGGACAGGGCTCCCTGGAGGCTGCCAGGCCAAGCAAGAGGCCGGTGCACACATCACCTGCAGCACACACACCACCTCCTCAGAAGGGCAGGCACAGCAACTGCACCCGGCCCCACTGAGGGCAGTTCCACAGCGAACGGCCCAGGACCCAGGTCTCAGTGAATCACTCCAGGCAAGGCTTTCCTACGCAGTCCTGCCTGAGCGCCTGAGCAGCTTCCCAAGCTGGGCCAACTGCGCCCCCTTCTGGTCACAAGGTGTCACAGCTAGTTGGCTGATGCAGGGTCCCCTCCAAGGATACGTCCATGCATCCCCAGTACATAGCACCTAGCACACTCATCTACTCCACAAACACCCACTACACGACTGAACACACACAACACCCAAATCAATGGCTTCACTCAGACGTGCTCTGTTTAAAAACTATACTACAGCGGGGATGCCCCTGCTTAGGAAACCTAAACTTGGCGGGCAAAAGTGATCCAAGCAGGGCCCACAGAGCGCCTCCCTGATGCTGGGTGCAAACCAGTCCTCACAGGGCTCCCAGCCTGCCCCTCGCCATCAGGAGGCGCGACCCTGCAGATGGCGGGCAGGTGGCAGGCATCCACTAGGGCATACCTGCTGCCCTACGTCCCTCCACCTGTCTCTGCCCACAGCAACCCAGCCTGTCCTTTGACATCTCCTGGCAAGGCGCCTCCTCCTCCAGCCTGTGCTGCCAACATCTGCCAGACGGCCCCCTCCCTGCAGGGCCCTAGAAAGGTGCTGCCCATGCCCCTCAGGTGGCCCACCTGTAACCACACTACCCCCCACAAAAACATGTGCCTGGCATTAGACTGGGTGCTTCAGACACACACGCCTGGGCACTTGTCCCACCTGAGAAGTGCCAACCGTAGGTCTCATCAGCTTGTTTTATCAGGGAGGAAAGAGAATCTGAGAAGTTAAGTGTCTTGCCCAGGGTCACAAAGCTGTTGGGGGATGAAGCCAGACCCCGAGGCCCAGATCACTCTAACTCCAGCCCATATCCAGGGCCAGCCAGACACGGCCTGGCACTACACAGGCCCCACACGGGCCCACCAGAAACCCTCCAGACGTGCTCCTGACCCAAGGGCCCAGGCCCCACTCGGCCCTCCACGGGCGCAGACTCAGGAAGGAGCGCGGAGAAGCCCCAGCACTGTGGGATTGAACCACGCATGTTTCAGTACACACCATGGACACCAGAAGCCTCCTGAGCAGACCTGAGCCCCCACCCTCACCGAAGCCCAGCGTGCAAATCCCCAGGCTCCACACTAAAGGTGGAACATGGCACTGTCCCCGCACAACTCCATTAACCTTGCCAGAAGAGAACACAGACAAGTCGATTCAGGACTCAAAGTGGCCACTTAAAAATGATACCCAACAGTTTAGCTCATTTCAAAGCCTTCACTGTATTTAGGCTTCCTTTCTTCATTTCAGAAAATGCCTCCTGGGAGAAAAGCCCAAAACATAACTTGCAAATACAATGTCCGGGGCAGGATAGTTCCAGAACTGTAAGGAAAACAGACGGAGGAAGCTGACATTTACCGAGCACCTGTGGGGTACCTAGCTCTGTGCTGGGGTTTTGTAAGCGTTTTTCCCACATGACTACGATTATGCCCTTTACAGATGAGACACCAGATTCGGAGTGGGGCCAGCTAACCAGCTGCTCCACAGCAAAGCTGGATCTGCAGCCACGTCCCTTCAACTCCAAAGTCATGTTCTTTCCAGGAAGCTTTGGTTCAGCTCGCATTGACTTGGCACCTACTACATACAGGTGAGTTGCTAGGTGCTGAGGAGTGAGGAGGAGGGACAGAGTATAGCCCAAAGGGCTGGAGACAGGTTACAGGAGGGGTGACACACGCGCTATGTGACACCCCTGTGCACGTGGGGACTGCTTACTCCAAGTCTGTATGACTTCAGTAGCTTTTAAAATAAATAAGCAACAATGAAAAGAGTTTCTGTATGAACCGGAAGTCCTCCACAGGGCATCCACAGCCATTCCTGGTCTGGGCCCTGCCTATTTCCGCAGCCTTGGGCCCCTCACGCCCCATCAGGCCCCTCAGTGTTTCCCATGCTTATGGCCAAGAACATCCTTCCGCCCCATCTCAGCCCCTGCGCCAAGTGAACCTTCCCCTCCTTCTGGAAGACTTCACCAAGCCCTTCCAGCCTGGGCTGCTGTCCCTCCCAGTGGGTTCACGGTTCCTGAGCCCAGGGCTATGAGAGCCTCTCCACTTGTCCACAGCCCCTACCACACCGCATGCCCTGAAGCCAGGGACCAGGTCTGTCTACCTCTGCTCGCCTGGCATCCAACACAGAGCCCGGCACAGAGTTGGCATGGCTCAACACTCCAGGCGGCTCACAGGGGCCCAGGATTTGTCCTGAGCCTGCTTTCCTCTCCCTCTGACTGCCCTCACTCAGTGACCTCATCCCCCAGGGCTCCAGTGTGTCTGCACATCCTCAGTGCCCCCATGAGGGATAAAGACTAGCATTCTCTGGTGGCCTAAGCAAGGCAGCGTCAGCAGGGAGGGGACAGAATGGACCAACAGTCCAGGGTGGGTCACTGAGAACACACTCCTGAATGCAACAGGGAGAATTACAGAAATTCCCAGAGATGTTCAGCACCCCTACCTCACTGTTGTGAAAAACAAAACACCCCAGCAGTTTACTTCTAAGAATCCCTGAAAAGGCAGCATCACTCAAGTCTTACCTTGAAGGTTTTGTCCATGGAAACTGAGAGAAGCATGTGGCTCTTAGCAAAGACTGGACACCACTGAATGCTGTTGACAGGGCCCCTATGGCTTCTCAGGTGGAAGAGCACTTTTCTGGGAATTGTGGTTTCTTTATACTGACTGTCCAAATATGGCTGAATAAACTCAGAAACTCTGGGGGCCACACAGAGAGGGGCCGGGGCACGCCCTGCAGATGGACCCTGGGCCTCCACATCTTTATTCTTGCCAGTTTCTGTGCTTAATGCCTGTGACTGTCGTAGTCTTTTCGGGGTGTAGGGCACGATACAGTCCTCACACCTTTTCCTCTGAAGGGAGTTGCCATTTTTATCTGGGGTTTCAGATTTGGTTTGGGCACAGAAGGATGGTTCAGGGGAGTTGTAAGTTCCCCAGGAGAGTTTCACCTGCCTAAAGCGGGCAGCTGTCAGGGGCACATGGCCAGCTGGAGCGTGGCTGGTCCACAGGGAAGGTCGAGGAGGCTTATCTGTGGGGAAGGTGACATCAGGCTCCGTCCTGGGCCACTGTAGCCTCTGGCTAGGACAAGATCCTGGGTCACTTCTCCAGAGCCGAACCAGTGGGAGACAATGGCCAGCAGGGTCTTCACAAGAACCATGCTTTGTGGGCACTGTTACCCCTTCCGTCACACCTGGGGCTTCAGATGCAAAATCCTGCCCAGGAGGTTTGACCACATCAGAGGTGTCTTTCATCTGGCTGACAGCATGAATACTTCCCACGGACTCAGTCTCAGCCTCTGACTCCGAGTCATCATAAGCCACCAATGAAGCCATTGAAGACAGTTTCTTGCAGTCCTTCGAGGACAAACTACCTGAGACCAAACAAAGTCAAGTGTCAGAAAATACGCATGGAAGAATACTTACCACTGTGTGTAATTAAAAGAAAACATGCCACCCAGCGAATCCACAATTGGAAAACTCTAAGAATAAACACATTAAAAAATGAGGACTTTTCTATACACCAGGCATAATTAGAAGATTTAATTTTCTTAAATGAAGACTATGGGATATCTGTGAATAATTTAAACAAAAAATTAGCAAGATCTAAGAAGAAAACTAAAATTTTATTGAAAGACATAAGAAAAGGACCTCGCTAAATGGAGACTGGATGCCTGGACAGAAAGATTCAGGATTTTATTTATTTATTTTTTTAATTTTATTTATTTATTTGACAGAGAGAGACAAAGCGAGAGAAGGAACACAAGCAGGGGGAGTGGGAGAGGGAGAAGCAGGCTTCCCGCCGAGCAGGGAGTCTGACGCGGGGCTCGATCCCAGGACCCTGGGACCATGACCTGAGCCGAAGGCAGACGCTTAACGACTGAGCCACCCAGGCGCCCCAAAGATTCAGGATTTTAAAGATGCCTTTTGGAAGGTCAATTTAGGCCTTTGAGGGTAGGTCTGAAAATACTAAAATGGAAAGATGTCCAGAACCCACCCTTACCTTCACCCTCCCCTTGGTTCCAGTGCCTCCTTTACCCCCTGCCTAGATATCCCATCTCAACCACAAGCCAGTTGGGGAGACAGACCCACAACACAAGACCACGGCATTCAAGGCACCAGTCCCCCCAATTCTGAAGGTATGGTCCAAATCTGCCAGTTTCACCCCAAACACACACACAGCAGTGAATTTCCTCTTTCTAAAAAATTCTTCCTGAAAATTCTGAACCATCATACATGATAAATTGCTGCCAACTAGTTTCTGGAAAGAAGTCCTTCAGTCTGCAGTTCAAGCCTGTGCTCTGAAGAAGAAGTACAGTCAGGAGGAAAACGAGGATGCCCAGCACATCCCGGGCAGCAGAGGGCGTGCTGGAGCAGCACTAATAGCCACACACCAAGTTCTGAGATGCCCCAGGTGCCCTACCTTAGCGTACCACAGAGCCCCTCCTCCAGATATGTGGGGTCAGGTCAGCACCAGAGACTCCCTCTGGGTCCCTTGGTAAGCCACTCAGCCTATCACCCAGCTCTTTCCCTAGAGAGTGGGTTTCGCATCCCCTGGAATCCAACCGCTTCACCCCGTCCACACCTTTCCCGCAAAGGGCACCCATCGCCTGAAGGGCTCCATTGCTTAACACATTACGTCATCATTCAACAAATGTAGTCTCCCTCCTCCAAAAATCCCACCACCACCCCTCCCCCGCAGCCTAATCTAAGCAGGTAACACCTTCCATACACAAAGCCATCCTCTAAATAAAACTTATATAATGGACTAATTATAAACTAGCGGACTGTGCTCTGCAAACAGTGTGGCATTTCTGTTCTCTAAATACTTAGCCTGGTCCTGCTCAGACATCTCACCTGTCTCAACTCCTGTACACAGCACCACACCCCACAGCATGCCATTCCTTCCTGTCACAGGGAACCCACCAGGTTCCCCCCACCAGGGTGTCTGTTTGTGCTCAGCCATTAAGATGGATTCCCACCCACCTAGCTGTCTGCAGCACTTGACTCAAAAGAGAGGCCAATGGCCAGAATTTAAAAAGAGGTCTATGGTGGGGTGCCTCGGTGGCTCAGTCAGTTAAGCATCTGACTTGATTTCGGCTCAGGTCCTGATCTCAGGGTTGTGAAATCAAGCCCTGCGTCAGGCTCCGCGTTCAGTGCGGAGTCTGCTTGAGATCCTCTTCCTTACCTCCTCTCCTGCAAGCTCTCTCTCTCCCTCCCTCTCTCTCAAATAAATAAATAAAATAAATTATTATTATTCAGCACTGATGGGCTACTCACCAAGCCCCACAGCAGGCGCCAAGAACACCGCAGCAAGCCACACAGTCAACGATGGCCTGCGTTCACCACGCTCACATGCAGTGGGAGAGACAGACCACAGTCAAGTGAAACACAGGGCGTCAGGTAGTAAGACATCCTACGGAGAAAAGTAAAGCAGAGGCGAGGAGAGGTGGCAGTCAGCTTGGCTGCAGTTTCACAGGGACCTGTGGGCACTGCTGGGGAGGAGGGGAGGGAGCAGAGGGGGTGAGAAGCCCTGGAGGAGGAAACCGACAAAACTAATCAAAAGGGGCCAGAGAGGTGGCGGCAAGGGTGACTCAAGGAAAACGGGCAAAAAATGGAGAAGAGTGGGAGCACCCGGGAACAATGGAAACTTCAGGCGGAAAGTGTTTGCTGCCTTTTATGTTTCTAAAGCAAATGGGGGGGAAGGAAAATTCTTCATGGTGGGGGCGGGGACCCAACCAAGAGGAGGAGGTAAGGGCGCCGCAGAAACGAGCGCGGAACGGGGGAGCGGCGCGGCGAGTCACCAGCAGTCAGCTCCACGACGACAGGACTTCCCGTTTTTTGTTCACTGTTTGAGCCCCAGCGTCTAGAAATATTTGTGAAATGCAGCCTGGGGGGGGGGCACCCAGAAAGTAAAAGAAACGGAATATTCTCATTCAGCAAACACGGCCTGATTACCTACTCTGTGCCAAGCCTCATGTTGGGTCTGGTGTGTACAGAGATTAAACACAAAACACGGATCCTGCGCCGGAGACCGCAGACTGAGGAAGGCAACCAAGAAGAGACGACCAGGGATGGGTTTTGAAGGATGAAGAGAAGTTGGCCGAGCTGTCAAGAGCTGCAGGTAGGGCGGGCCCAGAGCTCTGCGCGTCCGGAAGGCAACAGCGATGAAGGACGGGCGAAGGACGGTGAATGGCCCGCGCTGAAGGGCGCGGAGCGCTCGGGCCGCCCCGCCGCCGCCACCGCCGGGTCTCAGCCCCCTCCCGCCCACGGGCCCGCCGCTCACCACACGCACCGGAAGCGCTCGGTCCTGCGGGAGGCCGTCCGGTCTGCACTCCGCACCCCAGGTGCGTTCCGCTGGTTCCGGGGCCTCCAACCAATCATCCGCGGCCTCCGCCCCGCCCCCACGCGAACAGCCAATGATGGGGTAGCCGGGCCGGAAGTTGTTCCGGCCGGAGGGAGTTTCCACGGACGCCCAGGAGGCCGCCCGTAGCTGAGCCGGCGGCGCTGAAGGGCCCGGCTGGGCCGGTAAGTGGGGGGATGAGGGAGGGCGGGAGGCCGGGGCGGCGCCGGATGACCTGGCTCTTCCGCCGCCGCCTCCAGGCGAGGGCCCGGAGTATCCTCCTCAGAGCCCGGCTCGCTGCCCGCCGGGTTCTGGCACCACGAGGGGCGTGGAGGCTGTCACGGCGCCCCTCGCCCCCCTCCTCCGAGCGCCCGCGTCCCCGTCTGTCGCCCACTCTCGCCGGCACCGACCCTTCCTCGTCCCCTCCTTCTTCCCCTCCCCCAAGGCGAGAGGCCCCCACTTTGAACGAGTGTGTGCCACGTGCTGGGGGCTTTGCCTATAGTATCGCACTCAGTTCCCTCCGCGGTAAAGTTAGGAGGCTTTTTTATGCCCATTTCGCAGATGAGGAACCTGAGGATGAAGCAGAGAGGTAATGGCACTTGCCCAAGGTCTTGACACGAGAAAATGCCCAAGCTGGGATTGAAAGCTAGGTCCGTCCGACCCCAGAACTCCTGCTCTTTCCACTGCATTGCGCTGCCTCGGTGAGCAGCTGCGGGGAGTTCACAGCCGCCTTTCCGCCTTCCCACGACTACACATAAACAGTTACACTAATGCAGAGGGTGGGGAACGGGAAGAGGGTGGAGAGGTTACATGGAGGCCAATCTGGAGTATGGGGTGGCTGATGCAACGACCGGCTAATGGCTCGGTCTCCACCCGTCCCCCCCACACCCCCACCCAACCCACCCCTGATTGGACAGCCTCACCAAGGAGGTTGGTCAAGAATCTCAAGTGTTTCTGAGAAACTAAGTAATTTATAAAAAATCCCTACGTGCAAATAGCTGAAGACTAGGGTAAACAGGAAAAAGGAGAGAAGACCTTTTTCTAAAAAAGAAACTGAAAGAAACAGGGGAAGACTATAAAAGAAGACCTCTGGCTGCTCGGGGCAGTCTCAGCCACTCAGCTGCCCAGCGTGACCAGTGGCCACGTCTGCAGTGCCTCCCACATCCTGGGTATGTATTACCATCTTCACGAGGCTTAGATCTCGTTGGAATTTTAACCAGCCTTTTAGCAAAGCACTGAAAACCTTGGTTTGGGGGGCAAGGGGTTGTGTCTCTTAGAATCAGGCTGTTGTGCATTGTATTTCATCCCGTTGACCCGAAGCTCAGGTGATTCACAGCTTCCAAAGGGAATGGAGATACTCGGTGAGCAGTTGCCTGTTTGGCCCTACAGCTCATCTTGCAGCACCTTCGAGTTGGCTCTCACGCACGGTTTTCACTGATGAGGCCTCCTTATATACTCAACATCCTAACGTGTTAGTTTTCTCATTGTCATACACAAGAGTATCTTAGGCCTGGCTTCATAGAAGTTCGTGTCTTCGCCTTTTAAGGTAACATGGATTTTATTATTTGAAGGGAAAAATAACCTTTCTTTTCAGTGTTTAACAAAGAAAAGGTGGACGTAACCTGTCCCAAGGTTTGAAGTGTTAAAGGACTCCTTGCTCCACAGAGGTCGTTTTCTTGTCTTCTGAGGACTTGACCATCCAAAGACATTGTCACGCATGCTGTGGGGCCTGGGCGTGAAAGACGGTATCCCACCTCCTGGTGGTACTCCAGGCATCCAGAAACAATGCTCTTCCCGGCTGCTCTAGAATTGGCTGTTTATGCCCCCTTTCCCCAAATTGTAGACCAGTGTATTCTGATCTGTGAGATGATTTCAGGATGGCCCAAGTCATTGTCATGTTCTGTTAAATGGTTCTATAATTCTTTCTCTTCCCCATCCCGAAACCACCCAGTTTCTTCAAGTGCCTGTTATGCTCTTCCAGAACAATGAAACCTTTCAAAATGAGCACAAGATTCAAGATCTTTAAAAAGAGGAATTGAGAAGTAATTATTAAGAGCCTTTTAGCTTTCTCTTTAAAAGTGCATTAGGATCTGCCATGGATTATGAAGTTTTGCTCTAACTCCCAATACTTTTTTCAGAGGAGATGGTAGTTAACTCCATAGATTACAGTTTTGTTTCTTTGTTTTAGATTTTACTATTTGTTAAATAGATAAAACAGCTCTCCTAACAAAGATTCAAAGCTCTATTTGCCCTTTATGCGGTAAACACTAAGACAGTCGTTCATAGAGTTTTTGCATCTCGGACCCCTTTGGAAAAGTAACCTGGATACTCTGCTTAGAACCGTGCACATACTAGTGTGTATGCAAACTGTTGATGTCATTTCAGACATGCTGAACTCTGGGTTAAAAACTTCCGAAGTTAAATTTCATTATAAAAGTTAACAAAAAAATAAAGGAGCATGTCAACTAGACGCGAGGAAAAAGGAGAGCAGACACACGAAACGGGGGTGAATGGATGGGCGTGTGAACTAAGAGATTCTGTTATGTTTTCCTGTCTTTTTTTTTTTTTTTTAAGATTTTATTTATTTATTTGACAGACACAGCGAGAGAGGGAACAGAGGCAGGGGGAAGGGGAGGGGGAGAAGCAGGCTCCCCCTGAGCAGGGAGGCCGACGCAGGGCTTGATCCCAGGACACCGAGATCATGACCCGAGCCGAAGGCAGATGCTTAACCATCTGAGCCACCCAGGTGCCCCTGTTTTCTTGTCTTTCAAGAGGTTGCATCACATACACATACACACATGCACACAAAATTTATCATGTGGGTGGTTCCCATGCAGTGTTTGCCTCATGATCATGAGAGTGAGGAGACCTTACCTGCTGTTCCCTCATCAGATTTAGCTCCCGTGTGCTTTCAAACGGAATTCTGCTTTGGGAAAACATATTTTTCCCTACAACATGGACCCTAGGTGCAGGCCCCATTCGTCTAGCTGATCCTCTACAGTTACCGGCTCCATTGCAGGGGGAGATTATCTGTCCAGGGCATACCCAGTTATTCTACCTGGTCCTTTCTTTAGGAATTTTTAAGGCTAATGCTTTTGGTCCTACTCGCAGCCTTCAAAACCTTACTGCTGTCACCCATTGCCTTGTATGCCAGATACTACACTTTTGGAAGGACAGGGATAAAAGAGAGTTCCAAAGAGAGCGACCAAGACGGTAGGCAGATGTTAGCAGTGGGTTAAAAAACTAGACTTGGGGTGTGAGACCTGGAGAAGGCACCATGTGGCCAGCCTGGCCCTCCCCAAATCCCAGCAGGCTCAGCACAGTGGCAAAATGCTAAAATTGAGGCTGTGTAAAGTCCACATGGGGAAAATCTATCTTAAACTGGAATAAGCACTTGCAAAGATAACATGAGAGGATATAAACTTTAGGGGGAATATTGAACTGGGTGACTTTTTTTTTTAAGATTATCCATTAAATTGAGAGATGGAGAGAGCGCGAGCCGGGGGGAGGAGCAGAGGGAGAGGGACAAGCAGATTCCCCGCTGAGCCTGACGAGGGACCCAACCCCAGGACCCCAAGATCATGACCTAAGCCAAAATCAAGTCAGATGCTTAACCGACTGTGCCACCAAGGCACCCCTGTTAATTGTTTTCTAATATTTGATAGAATTCATCATGAAGCCATCTGGTCCCAGGCTTTTCTTTGTGGGTCATTTTTTGAGTACTACTTCAGTTTCTTTGCTTGTTATAGATCCATTCAGATTTTCTTTTTCTTTTGGAGTCGGTTTGCTAGTTGTTTCTCTCCAGGAATTGGTCTTTTTCATCAAGGTTATCTAATACGTGGGCATACACTTGTTCTTAGTATTCCCTTGTAATCCTTTTTATTCCTGTAAAATCAGTAGTAATGTTCCTTTTTCATTCTTGACTTTGGTAGAGTCTTCACTGTTTTTTTCCCTCTTGGTCACTTTAGCTCAAGTTTACCAATTTTGTTGATCTTAAATCAAAACTTTTTATCTTGGGGCGCCTAGATGACTCAGTTAAGCATCTGCCTTCAGCTCAGGTCATGATCTCAGGGTTCTGGGATCCAGCCCCGCATCGGGCTTCCCGCTTAGCAGGGAGTCTGCTTATCCCCTCTCCTTCTGCCCCTCCCCCTGCTCCTTCTCTCTCACTCTCTCTTTCTCAAATAAATAAAATCTTTAAAAAAAAATTTTTTTTAATCTTAGCACTTTGCAGTTCTTGTTGCCCGTGTGCCTTACTTTATTTACTTCAGTATAGTAACCCTGTAGGCTCTTGGCTTAGGGCATCATAGGACTTGCAGCTTTTGGCCATTCTCAGATTTGAGAATGCCCATCTGTCTAATTTTATCATCTGTAAAGTAGGGAATCAGATGGGCTTTGAGTAGGCTCCCTCACCTGCTGGAAACCATCCTCACAAAGCTGAGCTCAGAGAGCGAGCCTCAGTCCATTCCCTGCACTGCTTGAGAGCACCTTGCCCCCAGGGCAACGCATGGTGGGGCTGTCAGAGACTTGAAGAACAGCTTGTGGGACAGCTGCATTTTTTTCTTTCCTATAAACCCGTAAAAGTTTGATTTGGTTAATTTTGAGAACCAAAGAAGGGCTTTTTTCTTCCAAAATTAAGGTTTTTTTATTCTTTCCTTATTT